AAAATGATAAAACTTCGATAACATTTTATTGTAAAAAAAAAAAAAAAAGTAATTAAATTATCCATTTTAATAGTATTATAAAAATATCATTTCTTTAATTATATATTTTTATAACATTTATAATAAATATATATAATTTTTAAAAGTTACAAGATTTTAAAAAATAATATAAAAAATAAATATTATAAAAATAAAAAGAATTTATTCACATTTGATATAGTTTATTTAATATATTATTCAATGTTTATTAATTAATATATTATTTGATTTATAAATTATAAATAATGTTGATTTATAAATTATAAATATTTATAAATAAAATTGATATAATAATATATTAATTATAATTTATGTAATATTTCATGATTTATATTTTCTAAAGACTAAATAAATACAAATATTTATAAAAATATACAAATATTGCCATAAAATTATCATTATCAAATCTAAACCTAATAAAATTTTTATTAATATGACTGAAAGATAAAGAAACATGATTCAGCCGGAAGTTAAACATAATTCTAACTAGATAACTACACAGAAGGTATACAGTCGACTATATTTTATTTAGGAGAATAAGAAAAAAAATTGAATTAAAACTATATATCCAATCATTAAAATATTATATAAATGAGAGAATAATAAACTCAAAAATATAAATCAATAATCCAAAAGAATAGGTTAAAGTTAATTATAATTACTTGAATGTATCAATAGTTTTAATTTAAAAAAAGAAAAATTTTATATTATTAAAAGACATAAAAAATGAAAGATTTTATAATGATTTTTTTATTAATTTATTAATATATACAAACATTGTAAACATCAATTTATATAAATCTTCTAACAACTGAATATTTTCTTGAATATTAGATTCTCTAGTCTTCTATCAAAATCCTTATTTCCCAATAAAAAATCATTATGAAGAACGAGCATAATCAATTAAGAAGTAATCCGATTCGAAAAAAAAAGTAATAATGGCGAAAAATTTGTTCAGTGTGTTTTTCAACATTGGACCCAGGGGAAAGAAAAAAGTAGCAAGATAGAGGAGAGGGAAAGAAGCGTATGCTAATGCAGCCACGGCTACGTTTACAAACGGCTCTACACGGGACTATAGTATCGAATACTGTGAAACAATGAGTATGTAGGAGAGAAAGAAAGAACGACGGAGAACGGAGAGACGATACAGAGGGAGTATGGGTTACAGGAGCGTGAGAGTGTTGTTGCAAAGGCCGACAGGTCAGCGGATCACCCGGAACTCGCGCTTAGACTCCGCTGAGTTTGAATGTACGCCGATCTTACCTTCTTGCCTTACCTACCTCCCTACCTTTTACCTATATATTACTCTCTACGCTTGCACAACGGAGATGGCCGAAGTTTTTGATCCTCGAACGACCGTTTAATATTCTTGTCAAACGGCCGATTCTTATTGCTGAGAGAATTTGATCCATATCCGAATTAAAAGTTGCACGGACTTCCCTTAAGGAGGATTATATATATTTCATTTGATTACGTCAATTGAATCGTTTTATAAAATATTTAAAAAAGATTTTGGTTAATATAATTCTTGAAAAATAGTTCGATATAAATATTTAATTAATAAATTAATTGGAATTTTGATCATTTTAAATTTTAAATTTTTGTATTTTGATCCAGAATTGAATAGTTGATAATTTTGTTTATTAATTATTGGATGATATTTTATTAAAATATTGATCAAGATCTTAAAAATTAGAAATATAAGAAATATGTTTTAATATTTTGTATAAGAATTTTTTATTATTATATTGTATTCTTTAATCATATTGATTGAATCGTTTGCTAAAATACCTGAAAAATTTCTGATTAATATTAATGTTTTTTTATTTGAGGAATAGTTGATTAGAATTTATAATTTAAATACTTATGTTTCGACAAATTAAAATGATATGTCTGTTAGAAAAAATTTTGTGCGATATTTGAATAATATATTAGCAAGCTAAAAATTAAAAAATACAAAGGAACTTTTGTATATGAAAAATAAATAATTGTAATATATAAGAATTATTTATTTGTTTTATAATTTATTTATTTATTTGTATAATTTGAGAACAATCATATGAGATGGATAAATAATAGAGAGTTTCAAAAACTTTCTGGCAATTTAGGTTTTTATAGATTAATAACATTGATGTTTTTTTAGTTTCCTGAAAATTTTTTGAAAATTGATTATCGTAAAGAGATTTCCTGAAAAGTAATGAAAAAGTGATATAACTGCGAAATTATGGAGACGCAACGATTTATTTAGATAATTCACATTAGCATTTGCAAAACTGTTTATAAATTATATGTTTATAATTTCATGAACATCATGATTATAATTTAATATCTATTATTAATAATTCATTGTTTTAAAATTTATTTCATTATAGACGTTAATTTATAATAGATATACTATAAAATCAATATAAAATCAATTCCTATTATCCTATTAAATAAATATAATTTATTATTTCAAAATTAAATATTGAAAATAAATAATAAATATCAATTGATTTTTAAATATATAATTATGATTTAATATTAGATATAGGTTGATAAAATAAACGGTCAAATATATTATAAATTGTAGATATATAAAAATGCAAAAATTATTTGAAATAATTATTTTCACATTAATATTATAAATGATAAAAACTTCAAGAGATAAGATACGATATTCACATATTATATTTGTTGGAATTTTATTTTCCTACAAATACATATTTTCTTACAAATACATATTTGTAATCTCTTGAACAAAATCATATATTATGTAAAATATTTCATAATTAAAAAATATAGAAAAATATTTTTCTAATACATTATTAATGTAATTTTCAAGAAATAGTCGAGAATAGATTTTTAAATTTTCAAAATACGATTATACAATATACTTAGTCATTATAATTATCTACCACCTTGAAATAACTAATACAGTTATTATACTATATTTTGATATTGGTTTTTGCGGTGACGTACAGGTCTACTGGAAGATGGAGAATGTAAAAATTAAAACGACGACCGTCTCGCCATGAAACAAAGGCATAGCGTTCACTGTGCAAGAAGTATACACAAAAGCATTCACAATTTTTTATTTTTGTTTTTTTATATTTATAATGATTTCATTTATATTATATATAATGAAATGCTTCTTTAAAATTTTAAAAAATTACATGTTCGAACTAAAGAAATTAATTTTATTTAATATATCCTTCAAATTCTATTTTATCACATAATAATAAAAATAATAATAAAAAAAATATTATATTTGTTATAATAGAAACTTCTATTTAATATCTTGAATTTTTTCCTAATAACTTTTTCTAAAATTTTTTAAATTTCAATTATCAAATATAATATTATATTTTTAAAATAATAAAAAGATCAATTTAAATTTATTATAGAAACTATAAAAAATAAATATTTTTTTAACTTTATTGTACATTATAAAAATATATTTCAATTAATTTAAATATTTACAAGATGATATTTTTAACTCTGTCATTATTATTAACAGTATTACGAAAATTATTTTTCATGACAAAAATTGCTGTCTATATATTATTTCTTCATTATGTTTTATGATTTAATTTAATTTATTTAATTATGACAGCAAATTCTAAATAGCAATTTCTTCTTATTGATCATACGCTATAATCTATGTTTTAAATATTCATGATTTTTAACAATTTAAAAAATATATAATAATATTTATTATATCTAAGATAGAAATTAAATAATACAAGATCATTTTCAATATAACATTAATCTTTAATATTTTTTTTTAATAAATTAAAAAATAGAAAATTCCCAATTTTATATAATATATTGTAGCACTTGAGATTTAATCTTTAGGGATCTAAAATACAACATCAATTATTCTATTATGAATATCCTTAAATTGCAAAAAAAAGCATTAGATTTCAAATATAAAGAATTCTTTTGTAAACATTTGAGTTTTTCATGTATTTTATTTAACTAGATGCAAATTGTATTTCAAGAATTTTATATTCAATTCTATGTATATATGATTGAATTGATTTGTATGATTTATATGATTGATTCAAATCTGTATCTATTAAAATAATATCGATATTTGATATATTAGCAATATATATAGTAATATATATTTTTAAAAATATTTCTAAATATTCTTTTATTTACAATTATTTTAAATTAATAATGATGATATTGCTTTGCAAATCTATATAAATATAAAATTATTTAAAAATACTAGTAATTTAGCTAGTGTATATTAATAATTAATCATTGATTTTAAATTAATAACTGGTAATAGTTAGTATTTGAAGTTAACTTTGCTTTCAAGAATATGTTCAAGAATAAAATGTCGTAATATCACTAAAAACTAGTTAAATATTTGATTTTAGTTTTTCAAGAGAAGTACTGAAAATGTAAAACATTTTACGATAATAAAACTATGCGCCGATCCTCTGGCTCATAGTTGCGTGTATTTAACAAATTATTAAACTAAACAAACCAATTACTCTATGTAGATATTTTTATTTCTAATGATGCTTTGCAACTTTCTTATAACAATAAAAAATCTTTTTAAGGAAATAATAATTGAACGAATTATAAATTTCTGCAAGCAAAATATAATTTATTAATATAGACAATTTTGTTTTCATTCGTTCAAAACTAAATTAAAATTATTTAAAATAACAGAAACAACTTATAAATTTAATTATATAAATTTTATCATACAATTATCATATCAATTATATTAAGTTAGCTTTTCGCGGTAGAGTTTTCCGGAATCAAAAATGGCGGTTGCCAAGCACTATTTAAAAAATCGCTTGAATACAACAGAATATTCATTTATATAACAACTATCGTTTTTATAAATTGAATATTTAATCATAATAATATAATCATTATCAACTCTATAAGAAGAAATAAACGCGTTAATAATATATTACTATAAATAATATGATATTGTAATATCTAAAAATCTTGATTTCCAAATTTAAAGAGTAGTTATTAATTAAAAGTTTTAACTTTTAATTAGGTTTTTACCTATTAATGCTTACCTTGTTGAAAGTAATTGGCTTTTCGAAGAAATACGCAGACCAAGGCCATAAGCTGTAGTTGGGAAAGTCTCTGACGGGTTGAGGGCGGTAATGGCAGTAAATCACGTAAGTTGGCAATTTCGGCATTTATCAGGTCCCTTCGAAGTTTGCTGGCACCTTTCGTTGATTTGCTCGCATCTATCCTTCAAGCACACACGGATGTTACCGATACGCTATACTTCGCGGGACGGCTGAATCTACTTACGAAATTGACGCGCGTTGTACACACATTTTTACTATTTTTAAACGATTCGTATAGATAACAAACCTAGCATACATACAAGTTTTTTAAATTTTTTTTAAAATTTATATTAATTTTTAAAAAAGTTTTTTAAACTTATATTAATTTCTATGAATTTTTATCAAATTTATTTCTGAATTTTCTTTTTTTTATTATATAGTCTAATCTATATTATTGTCCAAAATAAATTACAATTAAATTATCATTCAAAAAAAAAATAATATATCGCGTCAATCGGTAAAATTTACTTTTTAATAAGTTGTCAAAATTCGAATTTCTTCGACCAATGATACGCGATGTGGCGAACGCCACTATCGGAAGCGCTTAACGAAAGGGGTAGAAATCACGATTGACGGTCAATGCTCTAGAGATAAGTGATATATGCGACGCGTTAAACATATCATTCGACATGTCGATCACGTGACCGAACATTACTTACCGATTGAACATATTTCGGTGACCAGGAGGACATTAGTAGCGGATCACTTGTAGACGACGAACGAGACATCCGGGTCGGCAGGTTCTCGCAAAACTGCAGCTACGATCTAACATCCGGGTCATAACGCGCTACTAC